TTTTTTTTTTTAATCTCTGGGACTGAGAACTCTGAAATAATAAATTCCAGCATCATTTTTATGCTACAACTTTCTTTCCTTCCAGCTTTCTCTTACCATCATCCTGCTTGCTATACCTGTGCGTTGACCCCATGAACTCTCGTGCCTTAATAATCCACTTTCTTTCGGGCTGTCCAAGCTCCCCGCTGATCCTCTACTCTCCACTCCCCTCTCACGAGCTCCTTGAACTCTCCTGTTCCCCTGTCCTTATGCCACACTTAGCTGACACATCTTTAATTCTGGCTGTGGCCTATGGTGGGGGTGCTATTTGCTTACCCAATATCCATTCATTTCTTCTTACTCAGTTACAGAACCTTGATTTTATTTGGGGCAGCAGTGTGCTCCCCTCCTGATAGATGTGGGACATATGACTACATCCTCACCAATACGATTCAAGGGGAAGTTGTGGTCTTTTTGTCCTTTCTTCCTTCCTCCTGTTTCCTGCCTGGATTCAGAAATAATGGCTGCAGTCTGAGCAGCCATCTTGGATCATGAGGCAACCTTCAGGGTAGAAGCCGGTAGCCAGGACAGTGAGCAGGAAGATGGAAGCCTGAGTGCCTGAGGACAGTGGCCTCTGCCATCCGCCTCCTCATCCTTTTATACGAGGGGAAACAAGAAACTCTTATGTAAACCCTGTTATTTTGGTCTCTGGTGCCAGCAGAGGAACATAACTTCTAACCAACAAGTTCTAGAAGTTTCTAAACCTGCATGGTTGAATACTGCGAGGGGAAACATCACGGGCAGCGAAGCTGTTACAGAGCGCTGGCTTCTCATCTGGGTGGAATCCTGAAACACCATCTTCCATTCCCTCAGTGACTATCACAGCTCTTCATCTCTGACCCTCATCCTCACTCTAGAGACAACCGCTGTGATTTTTCCTCTGCAGAATTAAAAACAATTTGTATATCGTTGAGTTTATCAATATTTTTATTCATGGCTTTAGGTTTTATGTCATACTTAGGGAGGCCATCTCCACTCCATGGATATAAGATGGTCTCACAAGCTTTCCTCTAGTACTAGGGTTATTTTCCCCCTCATTTAACTCTTTGATTGATCTCTGTGGAATTTATTTTGGTGCAATTATGAGATCACATTATTTTCTCAGATGGCTGCTCAATTGTTCCAGCACCATGTATTGAATGACTCCTCTTTCCCCATTGATTAGAAATGCTACTTATTAACCCACTAAATTCCTGAATGTATTTTGATCCTGTTTCATCCTGCCTATATTCGGGCTTTTCTCTTTTCATATACTGGTTCATCTGTGTTTCAGTATGACAGCATCGAATCATTTTAATTATTACAGCTTAATACTTGCAGGTGCTAATGCTCATGTGGTCCTTATTCCGTGCCAGGATCTATTCTCAATGTGTTACATTTAATTGTCATGACAACCCCCAGGGTAAGTATTATTACTCTTCTCATTTTACTGATGAGTGAGTTGAGGCACAGAGTAATAGTATCATTGCACCAGAGTTTACTCGGCCAGGATTGGACTGCAGGCAGTCCAGACTCTGTGCTCTTCACCTCTGTGCTTTAATGTCTGATGGGCCTAATCTCCTCTCACTGAAAATTTTCTTCAGAGGAATTTCAAATCAATATTGGAGCGTGTTGGGGTCTAAATAATGAATGCCTCTAGCCCTGTCCTCTTGAGCTATAAGTGCATACATCCACATTTCTGATGAACATCTCTACTCAGATGCCACACAGGCATCTCTAACATATCCCAAACTAGAGAACCATCGTTCTCCCCCAAACATGGTCTTTGACCTTCTGTGTTCTCTAATTTACTTGGTGGTTCACCATGGACTCACTCACCCAAGTTCTTCCACTCCCTCACCTCTACACCAGTCCAATCACCAAGTCATACTGGTTTTCCTTCTTAAACTGTTCCAGGATCAGGCTCTCTCCCTCCATCCACCACCACCACATTAGATTGGCCCCTCATAGCCCACTTCTGGCCCCTCCCAAAGACTGATGTATCTGTAAGGCAGAGCTGAGGTTGCCTCTGGGATCAGAGGCTCTTGGGTGTCATTTACAAACTTCTCTTCTCCCATCTCCAGCCTCCCCAACAGCACTGAGCTACTTAGAGTTCCTGCACTGATTTCCTGCACCTGCGTGGACAGTCACCTACTCACCACCCTCACCATTTGCCTGGCTAATTCTCTTATATTCTTTGAAAATTTTTGCAGGGTCACTTCCTATGGGAAGTCCTCCCTGATTCCCCTCCTTTCTTCCAACCTACCACAGCTCTTTCCAAATGAGGCAGTCACTCCGTCTCCCCTCGCTCCACCACTGAGTTCCTTGAAAGCAGGACCTATGCTTTATTTACATTTGCAATCTCCAATGACAAGCCAGACCCTGGAAAATAGGCCCTCAACCAAAGCTTGCTGAGCTGAGCCAACTTCCTGTCCCTTCTGTTCTTGCCTTACTCTTCCCAGGGCTGACCCTCCAGTCCCCATGAACTAAAACGTGAGGATTGATGAGAAATGATTAAGTCAAAAGACAAAAACTAGAAAACGATCAAATTTGTGGAGCGGGATTGGTCTGGAGCAGTGGTTCTCAAACTTGATCACACACAGACACCACTTGATGAGACCTTTAAAAATGCAGATTCCCAAGCCCAGACTTCAAGCCCAGCAGGGATCTGCATTTTTTAACCAGCACCTGGGGTCATTCTGATGCTGGTGGTTCTGAGAAACACTCAGTTGGGAAGCCTGGTGGGGGGCGTGGCCCAGAACCACTTACCTTTTCTTCTCTTCCACCTGAGGTAGAGTATCAGTCCCAAAATTGCAATTATGAGCACAGCACCAGCCAGTGCCACCCCAACTGCAGCTCCCCCACTCAGGGGTGAGGACGCTGAGCTCCTAGGGTCTTCCAAGACACTGAGGCCAGTGGTGGTGGGGGCAGTGGTGATGGGGCCCTCGGTGGTCCTCTTGGCAGCTGAGAAGACATGAGAATTTAGCAGATTCTCCCCTGGAGGACTGGAGGTTTCTGGATGAAACTTGTCACCTTGTTCCCTAGTTTGGGGAATGTTGGGGGTGAGGAGCAACTCTCTGAAGCTCTCACACAGGGAGGGGGTAATGAATCCACATCACCCAGCTTAAATGCTGACTCTACCTCCCATCAGTGGTGTGACCTCAGAACCTCATTTCATGGCCGACAAATAGGGATCACTAAATCAGAGGAAGAAAAAACATTTTTTCATTGTGGTAAAATACAGGTAACATAAAATTTACTGTTTTAACCATATTTAAGTATATAATTCAGTGGCATTAAGTACATTCACAGTGTTGTGCAACCATCACTACTATCCTTCTCCAGAACTTTTTCATTTTCTCAAACCGAAACTCTGTCCTCATTAAACACTCACTACGCACCCCCTTCCCCAGCCCCAGACACCCACTGTTCTGTTCTCTATGAATTTGACTGCTCTAGGGACTTCTGGTAAGTGGAACCAAACAGTATTTGTCCATTCTGGATGTTTTAATAAGTGACAAAACATCTGTAAAGCACCTAGTATATATTAGAAATATGTTTTTAAGATTAAATTAATATATATTGAACTTTACTTCCTACAAAAAGATTGTACCTTTGTAGATGTTTAATGCACTGTTTAAAAACTGACAGAATGCTAAGCCACAGGAAAAAATTCAACTCCAATAAAATCTTCAGGTTAGTATGGACCAAATTTTCTGTCAACCCTCATAAGAAAGGAATAATAAAACCATCTTTTAATTGAGATAAAAATTTTAAAGTCTTAAACAAATGTATATAACATGCTATTTAGAAAAATAAAAACCAGAGGAATACATATTAAAAAAAAAAAACAACTTCCTAGAATGTGACTAAAGCCATACTCTAAGCCAAATTCATAGTATTAAGTGCTTTTATTATTTAAAACAAGAAGAAATTTGAAAAATGAACATAATAGTCGATTCCTTAGAAAAAGTATCAAAACCTGAAAGAAGGCAGCCCTATGAAAACCTAGAGGAAAAAAGTAATGAAACCTATGTAGGAATAAATTTATTAGGAATCAGGACAACAGAAATAAATGCAGGAAGTGGTTATTTAGGGGAAAACCAAACAAAAAAACAAGAAACAAACAAGAAAATAGACAAGACTCTTGCAAACCTAACTAGAGTCTGCTGAAATCATTTGTGAGTATATGCTCAATTATAGGTTGATAAATTTTAAAAACTGAATTAGATGATTTTCTGAAATAAAAATTTTTGAAAATAGAGTTAAGTAGTACACTTTCAGTGATAGGTAAACAAAGAAGTAAAAACTTTAGGGATGCCTGACTGGCTCAATCAAAAGACATGAGACTCTTGGTTTGGGGGTCATGAGTTTGAGCCCCACATCCGGGGTAGATTTTACTAAAAAAAAATAAACTTGAAAAAAATAGTGAGAACTCTATTAAAGAACTACCTATCATAATTAGGATTCCAAGCTCAGGAGGTTTTATGGGTAAATTCTTATGAAAATTTAAGGAACAAATAATTCCCAAATAGATTCTAGAACACAGAGAGATATGGAAAACGATGCAATTCTAATTCATTTCATAAAATTAATGTAACCCTGACGCTACTTTCCATTCATAATTTTTTTTTTAAGTGCAGGTTAAAATGATAAAGGCCTATGTTTCTTACAGATCTGAGTGGAGGAAAATACCCAGGACTGGCACATTGGGAGCGTAGGTTGACACAACCTTTGGGAATGCATTTGCAAAATGTAACATACCCAGGCATGCCCTTTGACCCAATGATTTCAGTGCTAGAAATTTATCCTGTGGAAGTGCTGAACAAATGTTCAAAGGCCTGTGTTTAGGGGTGTTCTTTGCAGCTTTGTTTGTGATGTGGTAGCAACTTAGAAGACTGAGGGGCGCCTGGGTGGCTCAGATGGTTAAGCATCTGTCTTCGGCTCAGGTCATGATCCCAGGGTCCTGGGATCGAGCCCCGCATTGGGCTCCCTGCTCAGCAGGGAGCCTGCTTCTCCCTCTCCCTCTGCCTGCCTGTCTGCCTACTTGTGATCTCTCTCTCTCTCTGTCAGATAAATAAAATCTTAAAAAAAAAAAACACCAAAAACTCAGAAGACTGAGTAAGTAGATTGTGATACATTGCTGCGGCAGGACACCCTGCAGCCTTTTTTTTTTTTTTTTTAAAGGCAGAGCTGTATATGTACTGAAATGGAAAGATACTTTGTGGTACGGGGAAATGTAAACAAGTTGTAGAGCAGAATAGTACATGGTTTGATTCTATTTGTGTTATGTATCTGTATCTGTATCTATTATCTGTAAGAGAGAACATTTTGCAGAAAGAAGTAGTGGCTGGGGAGATAAAGTGCAGAGAAAAAAAATATAGTCTTCATTTGACTCCCTATGTATTGTTTGACCTTTTTTTTTAATGATGTGCAAGTATTACCAGCACCTTTATTATTTTCAAAATTTAACATTTATCAAACTTGTATAGGCACATAATTTATTTTTTAAAAAAGATTTATTTATTTGAGAGTGAGAGTACGGGGTGGGGGGGGCAGAGGAAGAGGGAGAAAGAGAATCCCAAGCCGACTCCCCGCTGAGTGTGGAGCAGGACATGGGCTCAATCTCAGGATCCTGAGATCAGGGCCTGAGCCAAAACCAAGAGTCAGTTGCTTAACCAACTGTACCACCCAGGCGCCCCAACAGGCACATAATTTAAAGAGTCCACAAATTCCATACAGTTTATAAAAACAGTAGCCCCTGCATAAGCCCACCTTTAGCTATTTCTTCTGACATTAACCTTGTATTTCTAAATCACATCAATATATAGCTATTGCTTGACTTGTCTCAAGTCGTGTTTAATTACTTCCTACCATTGAAATCGAGGATTTAGATCTCTCACACCCCCATTTTCTCCATTTTACTCGACAGTCCAGCATTTGATGTTCTTTTCACGACATGAGTTCTTCACTTGGCTTCTGGAACACCATTCTCTTTGTTCTTTTCCTGCGTCCCTAGCAGCTCCTTCTATCTTCTTGTTGATTCCTCCTTTTCCTAACCTGTAACAGTCATGGGACCTCCTTAGTTCAGTCTAGGACCCCCTCTCTATCTACACTCACTTCCCAGATAATTTATCTGGGATAATTTATTAATCCCATGGCATTAATTATCAGCAACATGCCAATCCTGCCCAAATTTACATATCCAGCCACCTCTCTCCCCACTCTTCCGACTCCTGTATCTCACTGCCTACTCCCAATTCCATTTGTTTGTCTTATAATGTCTCAAATTTCAGATGTCCAGAACAGAACTCTTGATTTCCTCCCAAGCCTGTTCCTCCCCCATGTCCCACTCTCTGTAAATAGCAACACCATCCTTCAAGATGCTCAGGCCAAAAGCCTTAGAGTCACCCTTGCTTCTTCTCTTTCTTACCCCCACATCCCATCATCTGCAAATCCTGTCTGCTCAGTCTTCAAAATATAAGCAGCATCTCCCCTGCCCTTGTTGTCACCCTATTCAATACATATCACCTCTCACTGGTGTCCCTGCTGGTGACCTTGCTCATCTTTACAGTCTGATTCTCCATACAACATCTGGAGGGACACTTGCACAATGCACATCAGAGCACAGCAGGAAACGCTCACTAGACTCATTGCGCTGAGTGAAAGTTCTTTCCCTGGCTTTCAGAGCCACACAGGACCTGCCCCCACTGCCTGTTCTGATCTCACCTCCTGCCACCATCGGCTTCTTCATCTGCTTCAGCTGTACTTGTCCCACCTCATGGCCTCTGCCCTTGCTGATCCCTCTTGACTAGAACATTCTTCTCCAGACCTCTCCCTCACTTCCTACAGATCTGTGCCTGCTGGTTTTCTCTGCTGGCTTCTCTTAGATCCACTCCCCAACTCTTCTCCACCTGCTTTGTGCCTTTCGAGGCTGGTTTTAGTGGACTCCATCCATGGGCTCTCTCACACACTGGTTCCTATTCAGTGGCCAGTAGGAGTCACCATCAGGAGATAGAGGGAGAGGGGCGCCTGGGTGGCTCAGTCGGTTAAACGTCTGCCTTTGGCTCAGGTCATGACCCTGGGGTCCTGAGATCGAGCCTCACGTCGGGCTCCCTGCTCAGTGGGCAGTCTGTTTCTCCCTCTCCCTCTGCCCCTCCCCGCACCACCCCCCAACCCCCACTCGTGCTCTCAATCTCACTCTCTCAAATAAATAAATAAAATCTTTAAAAAAAGAGAGAGAGAGGGAGAGAGGAGGGTAGGTCATGGCATAGCCCTTGGCCCCTCTCCACCGGGTCTTGTATTAATCTGGTTCTCAGAGACATAGAACCAATGGGGTATAGAAAGAGATGTAGAGTTTTGAGGAATTGGTTGATGTGACTATGATAGCTGAGAAGTTGTAGTTTGCTGTCTGCAAACAGGAGGCCCAGAAAAGCTGGGGTTTTAGTTCCAGGTCAGACCTATAGGTCTGAGAACCAAGGGGACCATTTATGTAAGTCCCAGTGTGATCCTAAAGTCCCAAGAACCAGAAGCTCCAAAGTCTGAGGGCAGGAGAAGCAGAGGTCCCTGCCCATCCTCTATTTTTTTGTTCTTTTCAGGCCCTCAAGATTTGGATGATGCCCAACCACTGCTAAACTCTTCTGGAAATAGCGTCACAGACATATCCAGAAAGAATGTCTTACCATCTCTGTGGGCATCCCTTAGCCCATTCAAGTTGACACGTAAAACTAACCATCCCAGACATGTTGACTCTATCTCCTCAGAGGCTACAGCTCCTCTCTGGTCCCAGTACCTTCTCTCTACCCTGCTCCTCAGTCATGGGGATGGTTGCAGGTGTCTCCCAGCCCTGACTGGTTTCCCTGTCCTGTGCTCTACTCAAAACTCTCCTCAGTCCCCCTGTTGCAGTGGCTGCTTCCTCCTGGCTCTGACTAATATCTCTGGGGCCTTTCTGTTCCAGCTGAATAGAGTAACACCCCTAGCAACCTTCATCCCCCAGATCCTGCTCCATTTCCCTCCTTTTCTCTTTTCACCACCATTCAACACACAGAAGTAATTTGTTGGCTTTCTCTCCTGTCTTCTTTCCACATTTATGTGCAAGTGGCATTGTTGCGAGCATGTTTTGCTTTTTTTCTTTCTTTCCTGCTGTTTCCCCAGTGTCCGTATTAGCCCCTGACACATAGTAGGTATTCAATCAATATTTGTTGAATGAATGAATGAATGAATGAATGAATGAATGAATGAATTTTCTCTTAGAATTTCAAGGCATTCAACCATTGTCTTCCAGCTTCCTCTGTTACTATGGAGACCGCCAAAGCCATTGTGATTCCCAAGTTTCCTGTGGCTTGTTTTTTCCTCCTTGGAAATTTTTTGGATCATCTTTTTGTCCCTGACGTTTTGAAATTTCATGTTGCTGTGTCCCAAGGTAGGTCTTTTTATTTTTACCCATTTCTCTGGGCTTCTTTGTTCTGGAAAATTTCTAGAGTTATTTGGTCAATGTTTTCTTCCCACGGCCTTCTCTCTTCTCTGTTTCTGGAACTCCCATTATTCAGAGGCTGGAGCTCTTGGACCAATCCTCATTTTTTCTCTATATTACTTTCCTATGGCTGCTGTAAGAAATGACCACAAACTGGATGACTTTAAACAACAGAAGTTTAGTCTCTCACAGTCCTAGAGGCCAGAGGTTAGAGAGCAAGGTGTTATTAGGGCCTCACACCCTTGGGAGGCTCTGGGTGAGACTCTGTACCATGCTTCCTCCAGCTTCTGGAGGCTGCACCACTGAGTCTCTGCTCTGTGGCCATACTGCCCTCTCTTCCATGACAAGTCTCCCTCTGCCTTCCTCTTAGAAGGAGGCTTGTGGTTGCATTTAGGGCCCTCCCAGAGAATCTCAGATAACCTCCTCACCTCAGAAGTCCTAACTGACTCACATCTGTTACCATGTAAGGTAACAGTCCCAGGTTCTGGGGGCTGGGATGTGGACACGTCTTTGTGGGGGCTGCTATCCAACCCGCTACAGTTTCCAGATCCGTGACTCTTTGTCGGCTTTCTGAGACATTTCCGTCAAGTTGATCTCTCAGTCCTTTTACCAGGTTTTCCATTTTTGCCATTATAGCTTAAATTCCCAAGAGCTCCTTGTTTGTTTGGAAAGCTCCTTCTGTTGCTCCATGCTTGCGGTCTTAATTTTCTGAAGATGGTAGTTATCTGAATTTTATTCTCCTTCCATTGTTTTGGTGTCTTCCAGGTACTTCCCTTCGCTCCCCACCTCCCCATTTGTTTTGCTGTGTGTTTCATGGGGGAAAGATTGCTTAAGTATTCAATGTAATCATAGTTTTAAAATGGTGTGTCTAGCCTCAGGCATCCCAGGCACAGCAGAAGTGAGGGGTCAATCATCAGGGCTGGAGGATTCCGTGTGAGGCCGAGACCCCATGTCCTTGGCCCCTTGGCGGCCAGTGTGCAGAAAGCCATGCTGATTGGAAGCTGTGTGTGTGGTCTGGGAGAAAGTGCTTGTCAGCTAGTGGGCTGTAGGATCTATTAGGATTTCTAGATCCTTTTGGGCCCATCAGATAGATTTTCCAGAGAAGAATCTCCTGATTTCTTGCCCTTGGTGGGGTGGAGGATACCAGCTGGGTTGCTGGAGTCCTGAGAGGCATCTAAGGGGCGGGGGGGAAGACATTTAGGGTCTCATCAGTTCACCAAATCTCCAGTTTTAAGGACTGAACCCTTGCCCCCAGTATGCCTGGGGTACTGTCCTGAGAATCCCTCTGGTCCATCCTTTCTGGAAAGCAAATCTCCAGTCTCTGCTGGGTGGGGAGGGGGCAAAGAGGTTTCCCTGCTTCTTAAATAGATTCTCACCTAGTCCTCCAGCTTTCTGATCCCCTTTCACTCCCACTGTCGGGGGGTCTGCGGTCGCCCTTTTGCAGTTTAAAAATCGCCTTTCTTCTGGGTCTCCCCACTGCCAGTTTAGGGCTAAGCTCCCCTGGTCTCCTAGGCCAGGTACATTAGTCTATGTATCTCCAGCTTCCCAAATATTGTTTCTGACCACAGGACTCACATATTTTTTGTCCTTGTAGATTTTGTCTTAAAAAATTCCCTTTGCTGTCATTTTAGTAGGATTTGGTAGAGAAAGGAGGTAAATGTGCATATAACCCACCATTTGGCCAGTATTTATGCAATATTTTCTAGAGAAAATAGAAAATGAACATTCAAAAAATAATGTTGCATATTAGTATAAAAATAAAAGATTTAGAGGAAAGCATCTCATGAGATATTTACATGGTCTTTAGAAGAACACTCCCCCAAGGTTACTGAGGTATATTTAAAATAGGGGCCATTCCTGGGTGGGAAGATTGGACTTACACTGATTTCTGTTTCTGTCAATTGCCTTATAGGATTAATGCAATTCTGATTTTAAAAATACCTGTTGGTGTTTTCTTCAGAACTTGGCAAACTTATTCTAACATTTATGTGAAATAATACGCCAAAAGAACAATAAGGTTTTTGAGGAAGTAACGTGGTTCTGATGGACATAGTCTTATCAGCCACTGAAACATGACAAGTTACAAAAAAAAAAAAAAAAAGAGAAAAGAAAGAAAAAAGAAAGAAAACGGAAAAACAAGAAACAGACCAGAACCGACAAAAAGCCCACAACAAGGACACAACGAAGAAGAAAAAAAAAAGACAAAAAAGACACCAGAAACGAAGGAGGGATGACTGAGTGGAAACATCAAATAAAGACCAAACCACACACGAAACACAAAAAAAAAACCAAAAGAAATCAACAAGACATAAAGGAAAAAGAAAGCAAAAAAAAAGCAGAAAAAAATAAAAAAAAATCAAAACATAGTCAGATACAAGAGCAAGACAGAAAAAAGAACAAAAAAATAAAAAAAAAAATAAAAAAAGAGAAGACAACAAAAAAAAAACAGCACGAAAAAAAAAGCACTAAGAAAACAACAAAAAAATCAGCACTACTAGCAGCAAAAAACACTCCGGGGGGATGATGTCGCAGCATGGTACACATATCGCAGAAAAACACATCTCTTTATAACACTCCCCTATATAAAAAAAAAACACAAGAAGAAAAACCAAATAAATGGAATAAATGAAAAAAATAAACTAACGAAGAAAAACCAAAACAAAAAGGAACGAAAACGAAAAAAGAAAAAAAGCAAGAAGAATAAGAAAAGAAGAAAAAGGGGCCGAAGAAAAACAAAAACCCCCCAAAAAGGCCATTTAAGGGAAGATGGAAGAGGTGCCCGAAATATAAATCCAAGGCTGTCTTGCCTAATTCAGGTTGTGAGCCACTGTCTACTTGCTCTAAAACCAGCATGGTGGTCCTACGGGACAGTGGTTACCAAGGGTGGGGACACAGAGAGTGTCCTTCCCACCAGGAACAGTGATGCATTGCTCAGAATTGGCAGCGCAAGTGATTGTAAAAAGGAAACCTACGATTTTTAGTTTTTAAGGAATTGTCTACAGACAATACACCCTCCAGTCCCTGCTCCTCAGAGAGACGCTCTCCCCACACTGCTCTGGGGACAAACCTAGGTTCAAGTTCCCACGGCCTGCTGAGTAACATGGGAAGATCTATTAATGTAACACACCCCATTATTGGCTAAACAATAGGTCAAGACAACGATATGATCAGGTCAGCTGGTGAGGCTGAGCAACTACTGGTTAAGAGTGGAGGCTCTGGGCTTAAACTGAGTTCAAGTCCTGCCTGCACCAGACTGTGGCTTTGGGCAGGTCAGTGTTTAGGATCTTGGAGCCTCAGGGTCCCGATATATCTCTAACAGGAAGACGACAGCAGTACTTACTGTTACTGTGGGGTCATGGGGAAGGTTAACTAGGGTGATGCATACCAAGTTGTTCAACCCTACACAGTGCACAGTAAGCGGGAGCTGCCGTATTTCTGCTGCAGACGTGCCTCTCAAAGGCCAGCACGGAGCAGTGAGATCAGAGTGGACAGTAGGGACAGTACAGGCAGAGGTGGGGACTAGGGATGGGGGGAGCAAGGAGGGTAAAGAGGACAGAGGTGGGGAAGAGGGAGATGGGAAAGGAGAGGAGGGCTGGGGCTGGGGCGGGGAGCATCGTGGGCAGGGTTCCGAGGAGCAGAGCAGGAGAGGAAGTGGGGGTTTTGGGAAAACAGGTAATGGGGTGTTGCCAGGGGACTGGGGCTCTCGGTCATCATTGGGTACCTGCTGTGTGTGCTGGGCTGAGCCCATGGCTGTGGGGAGACGCAAGACTCGGGGCTAGCTGGGGCTGCACACACGGACGCATGACAAGGGGAAGGCAGCCCACATCCTGAAGAAGTCAAGTCCACCTGGACGGCATGGGGGGAGGGTAGGGAGGCAGGGCTGGAGCCCCAGCTTGGGGCAAGAAGGGAGGATAACTGGGAAGCCCAGGAGGTGCTGAGGCCGGGGCCTGGGGGGCCTGGATCCGGAGGGGGCAGTGAGGGGGCTGGTCAAGGAGGGCAACCCAGGCCTGGGGAGATGGAGGAGAAAGAGTAAAGTTGGCAGAGGCCTAGGGAGGGGGTGAGTATGGGGAGAGGAGTCTGAGAGAAGGGGCGAGCAGGAAGATTGAGGCCTGGGCCAGGCCTGGAGGACGAGGGCACCAGGGTCTTTAAGAGCCTCAGCAGGGTGGGCGTGGTGGCTGCCGGGGCAGCTGGACTCACCGGGGGTGACGGTGAGTCTGGTCCCCTGGAGGGACTGCCACA